TCACACTAGGCACGTGACACGGCACCACAAAATTGATCACAACCCAGTACAAATCAGCCACTTAGCCCGCCAACCTAAACATTCCCGATAATCACACAATTAACCTCCAAATTGATCGCTCATAGACCAATCCAAACCCGGTATGGACAGCCACCAAACAAATCGTCCTAGGCCAACAAATGTTCTCAAAACACTCCATTTGACTCCCCAAAATATCACTCAAATCAGCCACCATGAAGACCAAATGAGGCGCGCACTAAAACCCATATTTAAAGCCCGAACTTACTCCAAACTTGGACCGCTCTGAACCAATCTGTCCAGCCATCTCACGGCACCTCGCGGGTCACTAAATCTCAACTAAATTGTCGCACTAAGCCCGTAAAATAGCCACCAAGACAACCACCATTCGGTCTCCCAATTTCACCCGTTAAATCCACAATTCCGTCCAAATCACGGCACCTATGCCTCGCCACATCACAGCACACTATAGTCCACTAAACCTCAATTAAATCATCATTCTCGGTCACCAAACGGGCCACAAAAATCAGCCCCTAGCGGCCTCTACTCGGTCCTCAATTTGCACCCGCCAAATTCACATTTTCGCCCAAATTAAGGCACCTATGCCCAGCCGACTCACAGCACAATACGGGCCTCTAAATCTCAATTAAATCATCACACTAAGCCTCGAAATCAGCCACCATATCAGCCTCTAACAACCTCCACAATTTAACCTATAAAATACCCTAATTAACCCCTAAAACCCATTTAGAAATGCAAATTATCCTAATTAGGGTTTAAGGTCAAACTCACCGGACGTCCTAAGCTTCAAACCGAGCTGAACACGTGGTAATGGCGGCTGGACAGCGGCGGTCCCTCGCCGGAACAGTAACGACGGCGGCGGCTCAGGCGAACGGCGAGAGCGACGACGACGGTCTAAGCTAATCCACGGCCTAGAGAGGGAGAGAGAGGGGCACGGTCAGAGATAGAGGGAGAAATGGGACGGCTGGACGGCCGGGCGAGGCGACGGATTCGCGCCGGAACAGTAACGGCGGCGGCGGAGCTCCTCCGGCGAAGGGCCTTCCACGGCCAAAACAAAGAGGAAGAGAAGGGGAAGGGGGCTCACGGGTTGGAAGGGAGAAGGGGCTGACTGGCTGAGGTGAGAGGAACGGCGGCTCACGGCGGCGGCACAAGAGACGGCGACGGCGTTCCGGCGAAGACGCACGACGCTGAGAAGGGGGGGGGGGGCGAACCGGTGGTGACGGGGCAGCAAGGCGACGGCCGGGACGATGGCGGCGATGTCCAGGTGTCGGGGCGGTTCTGGGGAGCTGGCCGGACGACTGGACGACGGCTGGGACTCGCCGGACGCGGCGGCGAGCCGAGCTCGCGCGCTCGGGAGAGGAGGAAGGTAGCGTCGGGACGGAGCTGCCGAGCGACGCTGCGACACGACGAAGACGCAAGGGAGACGGCGGCGCGGCGGCTGGCGGAGCCGCGTCGGGCGGAGACGGAGGGCGGTCGAGTGGCCGCTGTAGAGGCGGGGAGGAGCTGCGGTGGACGGGAGTCGGGGGAAGGGAGAGTGACCTGGTGACGGGGCGGCCGACGGGACTGCAGGCGGTTGATCGGGCGGCGCGGCGCGGCGGCCGAGCTGGCGACGGCGACGCGCGACGGCCCGGCGACGGGGCGACTAGCGGTGGTTGCAGTTGGCGAGCAGGAGCAGGAACGGAACCAGTCGGGCCGAAGATGAAGAAGGACGAAGGAGAAAAAGGAAGAAGAAAGAAGGAAAAGAAAAGAAGAAAGGAAGAGATAGAGAGGGAAGGTGGGAGTTGGTCTGCATGGCAGGAGCTGAGGGGACGTGGGCAGGAGGAGACGTGCGCGGAGAGGACAGGCGCGGCAGAGGAGAGATAGAGAGAGAGAGGGGAGAGAAATAAAAGAAAATAAACTTCATTCAAATATTAATCGCGATCCGATGGCCCAAATTAAAAACCAAAAGTGGTCTACCGGTCCAAAATAAGCCTCACACATAAAAAGGGACAAAGGCCAAATTAATTAGACCAAATCATAACGAGGGAGGTCTACTAGTCCAAATTTGCACCTGATCAAAAACTCCCCTTTTTCCATCATTCCTGACAATCTCAACGTTGGGCCCGACCATATCGACACCGTCCAATTTATTTCGTCCCGACACTCCCGAAAATCGACTGCGAAGTCTAGGGTCTAAATAACGGCCAAATTCGATCGAGTGCGATTCTAACGAAATCTCTATTTTTAAAAACAAAAACCCGAGAGTGATCTGTTCCCGGGCGAGATTCTATTATAAGCGCACTGACGAATTACACGTTTTATAAATCCCAAAAATGGGCCGAAATTCGGGATGTCACATCAAAGGTCAATTAACCAGTCTATTTTATTACGTCAATCGTATGAGGTCAGTGTAATTACTTTTCAATAAAGAAGTGGTAGTGGGTTAGTTGTTAATGTCACTAGGGAACGACTAAAGATTTGTGTTTAGTCAACTAACAATCAATTTTTTTAGTAAAAATATGAAGGCATTTCTAGATTCCCCTTGTGAACATATGAAACATATGAAATGACAACATTGGACATAGCAGGGGGTACAATTTCATCTGGTCTTGACGACCTTAAATATTTAGATGGAATGAATGCTCCATCGAAATTAAAAAAACAATGATCTTGTTGAAGTTCAAGGTCTTGATAGATCCAAGTTATGAGACGAGTTGAGCGTCAACTCATGCAATTCCATTGAATCGATGGGTCTTTCTCGATTGAATCATTTGAAGAAATTAAATGCCAGTCGTTGCAAAAATTGAGTTGAAATTTGAGGCCTTCATAGGTTAGAGTTCTTGAAAGAATATGATATCTCCTAGTGCAAATCCATTAAAAGGCTGGACATTTCACAATTAAATCATATAAAGCAGTTGAATGCTTCTTCTTGTGAAAATCTAGCCGAAATCCAAGGCCATATGGGGTTCTTGGAAACGTTAGATGCATCGTAATGCAAGTCCATTGAAGGGCTGGACCTTTCACAATTAGATCATTTGAAGCTATTGAAGGCATGCTCATGTGTAAATTTTTTTGGAATTCGAGGCCATAATAAGTCCAGGTTCTTGGAAGAGTTGGATATTTTCTCGCATATCCATCAAAAGGCTAGAGATCCCACAAATAAATGTTATGAGGAGATTGACTATTGCAAATTGCGAAAATGTGGTCGAAATTCAAGTGGTTATTAGATTGGAGTTGTTAAAGAATGTGAAAATTTACTTGAAATTCAAGGCCTTGATAAACTGGGATTTTTTCGAGTGTTGGATTCTCATTGTGCAAGTCCCTTGAGAGGTTGGACCTTTCTCAATCAAAATGTCTAAGCAAGTGATGGTTCGAGAATGCGAAAGCCTATATGAAATTCAAAGACTTGGTAGGTTAAAATTATCGGACATCTCGCGGTGCAAGTCCTCTAAAGGCTGGACCTTCCACAATCAACTCGTTTGAAGCTATTTTGTGATCAAACTAGTTGAAATTGGAGGCCGTGGTAATCATATGAAGGAAGCTATTGGATGATGCAGGTTGTCATTATCTAGTTGCAAATCGATCCTGGTTCTTAGAAGAGTTAGATATCTCTTGGTGCAAGTACGTTGAAAGGCCTGAACAAAGTGTATGAAGCTTTTGACTGATACAAATTGCAAAATCTAGTTAGAATTCATGGCCATAATAGGTAGGGGCATGTGTGGAAAGGTGGAATATCGCTGGATGAAAGTCCATTGAGAGGCTAGATCTTTCATATTTAATCTTCTGGAGCTATTGATTGGCAGAAGTCTGCTAAAATCTAGTTGAAATCAGGACTTGATAGATTGGATTCTTGGAATAGTTCGATATCTCTTGGTGTACACTCAGTGAGACTAACCGACTATGTGATTTGCATGGTCGCTATTGTCCGAAATCTGCAAGATACGTGTGAATTTGTAAGCTCTGCCCAACAACAGCCCAAACTGCATCAGCCAATTGAAACAAGAAGAGGCATAGTTTGGTGGGTTGCACGTCGATTAAGTCCAGACCAATTAAAACCTATATCTAGTCGGGCTTTGCTAGTCTAAACCATAACAACCAATTCTTTAAATTTCTGTTAACCCAAAGACAATTTAGCCCATTAAATATGAATTAAAAAATTTGTCTTTGACACCACTCGTTAAACCCAATGACCCCATGTCACAATGAACATTAGAATAGAAACAATCATACAAGTGAAAACCAGTAACTCACTCACTATCGAGCACACCAGTCCTCAATCATGGCCTCAAAGCAGCCTTGGTCGAGCAAGAACATACAACTAACAAGCAATCCTCCATCTGTTACAGACGCTTTTAATCTCATCCGGAACTGCTTTTTTTTCCCTTCAGAATTAATGACTCAAACATAATTTTCACTGAGAATTACAGCAGCAGCAACCCTATTCATTTGTGGGTTAACTTGCTCATGTGTCGCCTTATTCCCTTCCTTTCAGATATTGTATATTGAATCATTCCACCCAAGTTGCAACGGAACAACTTTCAAGCTTTTCCCTTTCATCATCTGCAGGGCTCACGAAAACTCTTGATCCCAGTCTTCAGCTTGTCTTTGTATTTTCTACGTAAAATTCTCTACCACACTTGTTAAGAGAAAGGATATTGAAAGAATTGTAACTCAAAATTCTCTTCGCATTATTCCCGGGCAACTTTTAATTCCTTAGAGGGGTTTTTCTGTGTCAAGTTGGACCACTAGAAGAATATTGATTAAGTTTTACCTGCTTCAGGCGATCTCGTTCTTTTTTGTCATGATTATTCAAGCATATGCTCGGCAAGGTAGATTTGTTTCATTGGTTAGCTAGTTATTATCTCATGTTATACTTAAATAATATCTTGGTCCTCTTGATCAACAAAACATAGACCAAAGGCCAAAAATCAAATTATTTATTATTGCGGAAGCAATTGATCGAACGGTAAAAATAGACAGAGCGAGAAGCTCAGTGGGCAACTGCACAGAGGACTCTGCACGGCCTTCAGCCTCCTGAAACCAGCAACCTTTTCTCTGACAAGAGTAGCTACAGGGAGCTTTCAGAGATTGCAGACCAAGCCAAGCGACGAGCTGAGGTTGCAAGGTGATGAAAACGAATTTGGTTAAATTGGAGAAGGGAAGGTTTTATTGTGCGAATAAGACAGAATAGATTGGACGAGCTCACCACCAAGTTTGGATACAGGGCGAACCACCACCAAACAAGGATACAGATGCTCAGTAGGCTCACCACACTTAGAATCCACTAAGTGATACAGAAACCTCAAAATATGCAATAGAAATGCAGGAGAAAATCCTCAATTGTCATTCAAAAGGTAGTGTCCCTCCAAGTGACGCCCTAGAGGGCTTACATAAGAGTCCAACAAGCTTCTAACAACTTTATTTAATGCCTAGGAACTTTGCAAACATTAAATCTAACTTAGTAACTTGAAATCATTTAAACAAAAACAAACTAGCAGCAGCCATTTAGCATTCAATGCTCTTAACCAGATTCGCACCATTTCCCCAAATTCGTACCATTCATAGTTTGACCAGATTTCTTCATTGCTTCTTTCCAAATAGCATGACATGTGGTGAACTAATTCCATGTAAGCATCATGATAAGTGACACACAAGGAGAAACAATAGCTGGACATGTCGGTGCAACGCACGGGCGAAATGCATCATCCTCCCTTTGCTGGAAAAGATTTGCCCTCAAATCTCCATAATCTTCATCTTCCACATAAGGAGAGAGAACTTTAACATTAAATGTCGCTGAAACATTAAATTCACCTGGTAGATCAATTTTGTAGGCGTTGTCATTGATTCTTTCCAACACCTTGAATGGTTCTTCGGCTCTTGGCATCAACTTCGACTTGCGCTTGGATGGAAATCTTTCCTTCCTCAAATGAATCCAAACCAAGTCTCCTGGCTGAAAAATAACAGCTCTCCTATTTTTATTGGCCTTCATATGATAAATCTTATTTTGTTTCTCAATTTGAGATTTGATCTTTTCATGGAATTCCTTCATTGCGTTAGCTCGTTGATCAGCTTCGAATGCACTAAATCCTTGGTTGGCAAGGGCAGCAATTCCACAGGAGTGAGTGGATTGATTCCATAAACGACTTCAAAGGGAGAACACTTTGTGGTGCGATTAGGAGCTCGATTGTAGGCGAACTCGGCATGAGCAAGCTTTATATCCCAAGCCTACTGAGCATCTGTATCCTTGTTTGGTGGTGGTTCGCCCTGTATCCAAACTTGGTGGTGAGCTCGTCCAATCTATTCTGTCTTATTCGCACAATAAAACCTTCCCTTCTCCAGTTTAACCAAATTCGTTTTCATCATTTGGCGCCGTCTGTGGGAAACGGTTCCATTTGTGCGAATTTCCTACCCTAAAACACTCAAAACTTTGATCATTAGAAATGGCCGACGGATTTCGACATGGATTGACTTTTGAGCAAGCTCGTTCTTTGCGAATGGAACGGGAAATTGCGGAACTTAGATGTCAATTGCACCAGCTCTTGAATGATCAAAGAATAGCATCTTCCAATGCATGTTCAAGTGAGGAAGAGGAAAATCCTTTCCACGAGCAGCCAAGTGAAGACGAGACTCAATTGAGGAGGCGGCCTAGAGCTCGTCCTCAAAAGAAAAACTCTGATATTAAGGTTGAAATACCAGAGTTCGAAGGTAAACTCTCACCTGATGATTTCCTTGATTGGCTCCATACGATTGAAAGAGTGTTTGACTATCAAGAGTATTCGGAGGAGAAGAAAGTTAAAATTGCACCCTTGAAATTGCGAAAATATGCAAGCCTATGGTGGGAAAACCTTAAAGCTCAGCGAGTTCGTGAAGGAAAGAGCAAGATTCGTACGTGGGATAAGATGAAAAGAGAAATGAAGAAGCGTTTCTTGCCTGAGAACTACAGGCAAGATCTGTTCTTAAAGCTCCATTCTTTGAAACAAAATGATTTGAGTGTTGAAGAGTATACTCAGGAATTTGAACAACTCATGATGAAGTGTGATGTTTTCGAGTCCCAAGAACAAACGATCGCTCGTTGTTTGGGAGGTTTGAAGAAAAATATTGCTGACTCGGTGGACTTATAGCCATATTGGAGCTTTGCTGATGTTTGCAAGCTTGCCTACAAGGTCGAGAAGCAACATGACACCTCCAAGAAGTCGTCCTACAAACCATTCACTAAAGAAGTTTCTTCCAGCAAAGGGAGTTCGTCTTTTCAAACTGAGAACTCCGCGACGAGGAAGGACAAGGCAAGAGTTGATTCTCAGCCCATGACGACCGCTAAGGAGAGAAGGTGTTTCAAATGCCAAGGATATGGGCATATTGCATCGGAGTGTCCCAATCGGCGCACAATCACTCTCAAAGAAGTTGAAGAAACTAAACCCGAAGAGGATGAACTGGTTTGGGATTCAGAAGAAGGAGAAGAATATGTGGAGCAGCCTGATGATGGTGAACTGCTTGTGATCCGCAAGACCTTGAATTCAAATATGGTGCTCATGGAAGAGCAAAGAGAAAACATCTTCCAAACAAGATGTACCATCAAAGGAAAGGTGTGCCACGTCATTGTTGATAGTGGTAGTTGCACTAATGTTGCCTCAGCCACTATGATTGAAAAGTTAAAGTTGCCTACAATGTCTCACCCTCAACCTTATAAACTTCAATGGCTAAACAAGGGGAGTGATGTAAAGGTAACTAAACAAGCATTAATTTCTTTTTCGATTGGAAAACATTATCAAGATGAGGTTACGTGTGACGTGATCCCTATGGATGCATGTCATTTGTTACTTGCGAGGCCATGGCAATATGACCGAAAGGCGATGCACGATGGATTCAAGAATACTTATTCTATTTGCTTAGGGCAGAAACGAATCACTCTTACCCCATTGTCTCCAAGCCATGACGAACGTGCTCAAAATGAGGAGAAACAATAGCTGGACATGTCGGTGCAACGCACGGGCGAAATGCATCACAAGGTGAGCACGTTTATTCTCATACGTCAATGCTTGTAATAAAACGAAGTTATTTACTGAAAAACATAGTTCGCTTCCGTACCTGTTTGGTTTCCTGATAACTGAAGTTCATAGGCCATGCCGTATTTAACAGAGCTGAGGAGCCTTACTTTCTCAATACAGATTATAAACCTTTCGCTGCTAGCAGTTCCTTTTCGCCATTTAAGTCCTACATGCGATGGTAAGGCAACCTGAATCTGTTGTTGCAGGCTGCGCGAGCTACATACTCTGAAGGGTCATGTTGAATCCGTGGTCAAGCTCAAAGGCTTGGACATCGATTCCATTCAGCAGCATTACACATTCTGAGGGGCTTTTCATCCGAAGTAGAGGAGATCATATCGTGGAGAAATGGAAAGTAGCCTTAAGGATTACGATGACGAAGAAGCGTATGGAGCTTTTATTAGTCTACAGGACAACAGAAAACGATGTCGCTAGCGGTCAGGGTCGTAGGTTTTTGCTGTGACCAGTTTATTGCATGGGTGCTGCTTTCTCTTTGACAGAATGAGATTTAACTCTTCCTTTCAAAGTAGCCATGTTCAAGTAAATTATTGAATCTTGTTTGGATCTTAATGATTTTGTTTTGCTTGAAGCATAATCTAGTCCACAATTCTCAAGAGTGGTCTGCCTGGTAAAAGAAAAGGAAAAACAAAAGGTTAGGCTTCTGGTGAATGATTTTTGTTAAATAAGTAATAGGATCCGTTTGTTTGAAAGATAACTGTTTTCGAGAAATTTCCTTCTGACTTTCTGGTGTTTGTACAACGGAAAACTAATTGACCGACGAAAAACATTATCCATTGACTGAAAACAATAAACTTAGATTTGGGAAAAATGAATTCCCCTTCTAACAAGAAGGAGATCACTTTCCTTAAGTCATCAAATAAATGAAAACTAGCTATTTTTTGTTGTAAATAATTTAAAAAAAAAATGGCTTCCCCTTCTAACGAAAACTCAGGTTTTGAAATCTGTTAGGCTGCGAAATTGCGATTAGGGTTGGGTCATCTTCATTGAAAAGGTTTTTGTAGAAATCCACCCCAATGAATTTTAGTTCCTCTTGATCAGACACCCATTCTCCACTATTATTCCTTAGAACATCAATTTTATTTTTCCAACGGTGAATGATTGCGGTAGCATGAAAAAACTTCGTATTTTTTACCCGAACTGCCACTATTGATGTCTAATTTTTCGATACTAGTGGATTTCTTCATGAACCGAGACATCAAAAAAAAATTTTTAGTTTTGCTTCAAGTTTCAACAAAAAAAGGATTTGTACCTTTCTCAAGTGCCTTTTGGATGCCTCTTAATCTGGTCAGCAAATTCTTTTCTTCTGAAAATGTTTCCAAAGACATTCTGATTCCACTCCTTGAGGTTGTTTTATAGTTGGGGACAGAGTAACATGAATAGGCAACTCATCATTCCAATTAAGTTAGAGCAAACTCATTAAAAGAAGTATGAGTTAGTCAAGCTGTTTCAAATCGAAAAGTCCGATTTACCTAAAGAGTCCTCTCACGGTAGAGATCAAACAAGATTGGGTGATGATCAGATTTAACTTTTGGAAGTATTCATACTATCGCATCAACAAATAAACAACGTCAAGAAAGATTACATAATGCTCTGTCAAGGCGATTGAATAGCCGATTGTATCCATTCCCCTGGGGCCCACGCCATGCAAATTTCATTCCCACCCAGTCAAGATCAATTAGACGACATTTGTCGATCCACTCTCTAAACCTAGCACAATTTACAGCATTGACCGGTGCACCCCCTTTCTTGTCGTCCGGAAACGTAGCATCATCAAAATCACTCGTGACCATCCAGTGTTTTGTCATTGTAGCAGCTATCTATTCAAAATGATCTCTTAATTGCGCTTTAGCTAGCTCATCTGGTTTTGCATATTAATTATGACCATATATAATACATGTTACAAATTAAATATTTTAAGAAAACATTTTCCATCCTTTTATTTCGGAGAGGTATCCAATTTGAAATAGGCAATTAGATTAACTATAGAATTCAAACTTACCATCGCAAAAAATATTATTGTACTTTTTTTTTTTGGTCTAAAGAGAACGATTTGATTGAAAATTAAGTGTTCATGAAACTACAACCCGACGAAGGAACATCAAAACATAACAGTTCCCATAAAAGTTGGGGGGGACGGGCTAGCCAAGAAGAAAATAGAGAATTGGTCCGTTGCGCCCTGGCGACCCAATCGGCAACTTGATTTGCGGATCAGTTGCAGTGGGCCACAGTTAGGTTTGTGAATTGGGCCATTCGAACGTGCGCTTCTTTAATCAAGACTTCCTCTTCCCAGCCGACTTCTCTCTGGTTCTGTAGCTTCTTCACTATCTCAAGGCAGTTTGTTTCTATTACAATTTCCTGCGTTCTTCTGTCAACGAAGAAAGTCAGGGCATGCAGCAAGGCTTGCAGTTCGATGTGAAGCGACGAGATTGCAGGGACTGTCTTGGTGAAACCGTTCAGCAACGATCCAGCTTCATTTCTGAGGATTCCAGAAACCGCTCCTACTGCTGCATCTTCAAGGAAAGATCCGTCTATGTTGATTTTGAAGCAATTTCTCATCGGTGGTTTTCAACACAAAGGTAAAAGGCTCTTTTCAGCATGCAAACTAGCATTTTGATGGTTCCACTTCCTGTAATTTTGCAATATAAGTCTAGCCGACTCGATTATGGAGCTCGAATTTGGGGGTTTTCCTCTAAACACAAATTCATTTCTTGCCTTCCAAATCAACCACAATAGGATGGCCATCTCATCTAGATTCAGCAATTTATCTTGTCGTTGCTTATAATTAAGGATCCATACCTCAATTCTTGTCAGTTCTTGACGTGCTATTCTGTTCTGTACTGAGGGATCTGTCCAGACAGCTTCGATCCAGGGGCAAAAGAGAAGGAGATGCTCTACCGTTTCAGCTTCTTGATCACAGAAGGGGCATGCATGTCGAGGTAAAATCTTTCTCCTATAGAGGTTGTCTGCAGTAGGGAGAGCATTTTGGCAAACACTCCACAAAAATATTCTAACCTTGGGTGGGATTTGTAAATTCCATATTGTGCACCATAGCTTGCGGGATGGCTTGAAAGATGATGATGCTTGCATTGCATTTTGTGTGTTTTCCTCTTGACGAATCTGGTTGTACGCACTTTTCACCGAGAAGACCGCTGACTTTGTAGCTGTCCACACTAGTTTGTCCTCTGTTGCATGACTACATAGTGGTATTGCTAGCACTTCATTGATAGTCTGCTCGTCGAATAGTCTTGCTAGTAAATCTTCATCCCATCTTCTATCATTTCGGATTAGATTTGCAACCCTAGCTGGTTCTCGAGAGTCTGCTTGTGTCACGCCCCGAACCCCAACAGGCTCGCGACACCCCTTCAACGGCCGTATTTAATGCGACGTCCCAGGACGCGTCGCCGACCCAAACGAACTACGCAAGCGGAAGCGAAATAAAACAACCCAAACAACTAACAAGATGACAAAAGGATAGCACGAAACAATAATTGCATAACATCATAAAGCAGTCACTATACAAAACGATAATTCAGGCTACCAATTTAAAATCACAATTTTCAAAAGGGGACGGTGGTTGACAAGCTTATCTCCTCTACAAAAGGTACTCAAAAGACAGGGTAAATGATCTATCCTTCAATCCCTGTGGTGCTCTGGCGGCATCTCCGAATCGATCACGGTCGCGAATCTGAAATGGTTATATAATAACCGTGAGATCGAGTCTCAATAAGCAACCCCCTATACCTCACGTAGGCCAATGCGTACCCAGACAAGTCTAACATGCAAGTCACCAGACAACACAACCAGTTTCACAGGATAAGCTTACCTCGCCTAGAGCCACGTGCCAACCCTGCATATTAGACCAAACATGACAATGCAAGAATAGTTCACCGCCATATCACCATCACTCGGCACACACACCCCCACTCGCAATCAACCAATCCAACTAAGCATCCACACGTACAATTAGCCAATTCAATCAATCACATCGCACACACGTGTCCAACCAACTTTCCTCTCACGGACCACCGTCAACACGTCTCAAGTCCGATCTCACAGACACACAAGCCACACAATTCGATCAATTCCAATGGCTGCCGTCAACACATCCCAAGCCATATCATTCAATCAATTCCAGTGGCCGCCGTCAACACGTCCCAAGCCACACTATTCAATCAATTCCAGTGGCCGTCGTCAACACGTCCCAAGCCACACTATTCAAGCAATCCCAATGACCGACATAAACACGTACCGGTCCAATACACCTTTAACGGCCCACCGTCAACACGTCTCAAGCCCGCATCCACTTGGCACACCGGCCATTCATGCCTTCACACGGACCACCGTCAACACGTCCCAAGTCCGTAGCCCTCCGATCAATCCGGGCTTAAAATCGACAGGCATGCACACGCCATTCAATTCAATCAATTTCACGCCAATTGCATCAAACGATCCATATTCACAATTCGCCACGTCAATCCACAAACCCGACGTTCAAGTTGGCCACGTACGATCACCCAAATCATGCACATTATTTTATCCAATCCAATTAGCACAATTATATCATAATATAATTAAATTAAAACACGCCCTAGCCGTTCTAAACCCGAGACAAGTCTATAAAATACCCAAAGTACTAGGTAGGGTTTAGGAATTCACTTACTAAGTTTTGGCCCGGGAAAAGTCGGCTCGGGCCTAAAATGGCCCGGGTGAACAGTGCGGACTCGGCACACGCGCGGGCACGGCGATGGGCGCGGGCACGGGCGCGGGCGCGGACACGGGCATGGGCACGGCGATGGGCGAGGGCACGGGCACGGGCGTGGGCGCAGCGATGGGCGCGCGGCTTGGTCGCGTGGGCGACGAGCCGGCCACGGTCTGGGCTGGCCGGGCGGCGATCGGCGGCGGCGGCGGCGACGGCGACGCGGCGGCAGCGAGCGGCGGTGACGGAGCAGCACGGTGCGGCTACTGGCGGGGTCGGGTGGCGTCAAGCTGGCCCGCTGGAGCGACGGCCAGCGGAGGCGAACGGCGGAAAGCCAAAGGGAAGAAGAGGAAGTTGGCTAAGGCGGGTGGTGCGGCTGGGAGGCGGTCGGCGGCGGCGACAGCGACGCTCAGGCGTCGGGAGGAGAGCTGGCTGGACGGCTGGACGGCGGCCGGGACTCGTCGAGCACGGCGGCGAGTCGAGCTCGCGTGCTCTGGGGGTGAAAGAAGAGAAGGCCGAGAGAAGGGGAGGCAAGGGCCCGGCAGTGACAGTGGCGGTGGCGAGCGGCGCACGGAGGTCGAGCGGCGACTGGGCTGGCGGACGGTAACGGCGGCGACAGCTGGGCGTGCGGTGGTGGCGGCGACGAGCTCGCGGCTCGAGCGAACGACGGGAGGAGGAGAGACACCAGGCGACGAGGGCGGTCGACGGGACTGCAGGTGGCTGGCGAGCGACGGTGCAGCTCGGTCGGGGCTACGGCGGCGCGAGGCGGACGGCGGGGCGACCGGTGGTGGTTGCAGTCGACGAGCAGAAGCAGGAGCGGAACTCGTCGGGCCAAGGAAAAAGGAAGAAGGAAGGAGAAGAAGAGAGAGAGGAAGAAGAGAAAAAAGGAGGAGAGAGAGAGGCTGGGGGGTTAGGTCTGCATGGGTATGGGGCCGAGGGGACGTCTGCACGGGGGAAGACGTGTGCGGCCAGAGGGGGAAAGGGAGTCTTAGACCTCATTGCATCTGTCGTTGGAGAGATGCCGCTAGTTTCGGTCCCTATCAGATCCACTGACAAACTGGAATCCTTATGAGGCTCAACATCACTTAAGTTTGTTTTATATGAAAAAGGGTGTTTTGGTTTGGTTTCGACAATCATCTGACTGCTGAATTTGGAATCAACGGTCTAAAAGAAATATGGAATTAATCATTGACAGAGTCAATTATATAGAAAAGGAAGTCGTCAATAGTATTACCTTCACTTTACCCGTTGTGGTTGATGAACCTCCAACGGAGGGAGAACTTAGCAAGTTAGAAGAAGCGCCCATAGTTTCAGTGATTGACTAATCAGACTTGGAAGATTTTGCTTGTGCTTAGATGGAAGAGTGGACTCGTCAGAAATCTCCAAGGCAATGCTTTTAGCAGATTTATTCTTCTTCCCTTCGGGAATGTAATATTCATCCTTATCTTTGTCATTGACAGGGAAAGCGTTGCCATCATCCTTCACCGATGTACTCATATCGGTCAGAAAAATAGCTGTCGGACAAAGGGGTTCGTCAATCCTCAATTGAGAAAAAGGACACAAGCGTCAAATAGTGACTCACCACGCTAACATCTAATAGATAAAATGGGCAAATATCTGGACATCCCTTCATACTGGGTAATAAAAAAAACAAATGGGTGCATGGATTGGAAAGAGAAACTGATGACTAAAGCGGAGAAGGATCACTTTCTCCTTCATTTTCTTCACATCCTAAACCGGACTTATTATAGTAAGGGATTTGAATTGAAAGGATGTGCTCAAGTGTTTTGGAACCAAGAGAGAACCTTGTAGTGATTTCGAAATCTCTTTCTTTAGAGAGTAATTCTCATCTTAAGAGAGACTTTGTTCTTTCCTTAGAACATGCAATTCATCTCTCATCTCTTCAAGAGCCACACTTTGAGAAGGGTTTTCAATTGTCAACATCCAAACTTCATTTTTCAAATCTGAAAATCTTTTGAAGATTTTTTTAGTCTTTCAAAAGTTTCCGTTAGAAAATCTTGCAATTCTTCATAAGTGAGTTATGGGGATTCTACCTCAATTTCCTCATAGACTTCAGAATTACCCATGAGACATAGGTTGGCGTGATTAGCATCTTCATCGCTTCTTTGTACTCGATGTCACTTCAGGTTTAAGCATTGAAGGCACGCTTCTTCTTCTCAAACTTTCCTTTCTTCTTTTTTCTAAAGAGGACATTTGGGCTTGATGTGTCTAGGCTTTCGACATTCGTAGTAGACTACTTCTTTTAATATGGACTCATCTTTGGCTTTGTGGTGTTTCTTCTCGTTTCAGTATTTTGCTTACCTCTTTCCTTTGTAGTCATTTCCTTTCTCATCATGCTTTTGAACCTTCTTGTCAAGATCATCGTCATCTGATGTTGTAGGTTCACATGCATCACCATGATTAGAAGTAAGCAGATCACACAATGATGTATAGTGGTTCGACTTATGACCAAGCCTAAATCCACTCTCAGATTAACAATGTTAACAACGGTTGGATTCCACCAGTAATCAGCTATACAAGTTACAATTGGCTAATGTAGTTCCCTTCACTTGAGTATCGGGATACAAAAACACTAAACTTACTCTTGTACACTTGACTATAAGCTATTACAGTGTTAAACCAAATATAGAGAGATTTACGTATCAGGATTAGTGACAATTTCTAGCTTAGAAGATAATAGCAGTATTGTAAGTATTCTATCCCTTTTTTCTCTAACTAACTTTTCTTCTCAACATCACTGCTCATTATATACTCAGATGATCAAGTGACCAGCACCTTCCAAGACTAAATATCAGCATGATCCCTTACCCATAATCAAGACGTGTAGATTATTAGTAGTCTGTTGATGCTATCCACTAACAAACCGTGTGAACGATTTGTGATCAATCATCCAATGATCCTCTTGACTATCTCAACTTCCAAAGACGTCACCTTGATGAAAGATTGACCACGGTACTTCCAAGTCATCATGAACACCTCGTCATCTTCAATTTGTTTTCTTTCCCATCAAGATCCTCATCCTTATACCTAGTCTTTGCTGAACTCACATAGGTCATTGATATCATCATTGTCTTCCACCTTGTCTGTATAAAGTAGCTGCTCATTGCTAACAATCTACTGCTCCAATAACAATCCACTGCACCTGATAATGATGCTGATCTTTCTTCCGGTCCTTCCAAGCATATTGGTAATTTCAACTCTATCAACCTATTCATCTCTATGGTCCTTCCAAGTTTTATCGAACATCTTTGTTTTACGTTTGTTCACCATCACCAAGTCCATCAAACTGTTCACTCGATCTTTGTACCTCAAAGTCATTACGAACATCCACATTCTTCTTGACTTGCTCATCCTCGATCAAGGTCTTTCCAAATATTCACATTATCTGAAGATCCTTCCAACTTGTAGACATCTTCAACACCTAATATCTCGTTCACCTTAAATATCGGTA